GCGGCGCAACTGCGAGTTCGTCTGCGTAGGAAAGGCGAAGGAAGCGAAACTGTCTATTGTGACATAAAGTAACACCCGTCAATAAAAGTATTTTGATTTCACTTATTATTTTTATGTGTGATTTGTTAGTATGGAAAAGAATCGAAAAATCGACAGTGAATGCAGAACGTTCCAAAAAAATGGAACTTTCAGTATTTTGTGTTTGAGTCCAGTAATAAGGCGCTATGTTTAATTTGTAATGAAACCATAGCTGTTCTCAAAGACTATAACATTAAACGACACTATGAATCGANTTTGCTGGGGATTTTCCCAAACATGTTTTTTCCAATTGGCTGAGATGTACATTTATTTTGTCGGAAGCTCAAAAAAAATCGTTCAATACCTTTAGGACGCAAAGACATATAAAGTCTTAATAAAGGCAAAGCGGAGAACTCTTTTTCATCCACAACTGTAAATTTCTTCGATACACCAGTTTTACTTTCCGGTACGTTCACTACCATAACGGAATCCCGGTCCTCTATATCCGATATCTTCATATTCAAAAGTTCCTGACTTCTGCATCCTCCAAAATAACCCATAATCAAAACAACCTATAACAAAAATAAGGAAATAAATACACACAAAAAGGAAAATAAGAAAAAAATTACCTTAAGCAATTATCACAACAATTAGGTAATCATTGGCTGTCGCGGGCCAGATTGATGACAGTAAATCATTGGCTGTCGCGGGTCCGGATTGATGACACTGGCGGGCCGGATTTGGCCCGCGGGCCGTAGTTTGGAGACCCCTGATCTACAGCATCAACAGATGCTACTCACAGCTACTAACAGTGAAGCAGCTTCTAATCGTTGGCAGTTGTCAATAACAAAGATTATCTTTTGAGGAATTGAGGCAAACTAAAAGCACAATAACAACACCTAGCAAGAAAAAGAGCAAGTTCAGCATAACCAAGCATGTCTGGACATGACACCAAGTAGTTTGAAAATGAGAATATTCTTAGATAGGATCACTGGTTTGAAAGGAAGTTTAAACGTACATTTTGAACAGTGGCATATTTAATCAGAAGGTTGGATATTTTAAATGTTCAATTGAGAGGGAAAATGGGCATCAGTGTACCAAACTCAGGAAATCTACCAGCAATATGTAAGGTATAAGACGGGTGTGAAGTTATCCACATCCACAAAGTACACTGAGAAACAAATATCGAATTATTATTTCTTCATTTACTGACTCTGTACACCTACCTTACGTATCACGCTTATTGACTGATTTAGTGAAAAACAATAACCGTCCTAGTTCATTAAACTGAAAGGGTGAAAACAGGGTGGAAATATTTAAGAAATTCGTAACACGAAAAATAGACTTTGTACATTTACAATATTCCTGATGATCTATTCGACAGAAAAATCTTCACATCATAGTTTTCCTGGCCGTCTGAGAGGGTGAAGATATTACAAAATTTCGTTACATGAAAAATTGAGTTTGTACCCCTAAAAAATGTATATATGTTATTTCTGATGATCTATTCTACGAAAACAACTTTGTCATAGTTTTCCAGGTCATCTGAGGGGGTGCAAATGGGGTAGAAACTTGAAAAAATCATAGATTCAAAAATTGAGTTTGTACACCTACAAGATTGAGATATGTTATTCCTGACACCTGGCGGGTTAGGATAACATATCTCAAACTTGTAGGTGTACACATTCAATTTTCGAAGATACGATTTTTTCCACCACATTTTCACCCCCTCAGACGGCCTGGAAAAATATGACGTGAATTTTTTTTGTCAAATAGATCATCACGAATAATACGTCTCAATTTTGTAGGTGTACAAAGTCGATTCTTCATGTTACGAATTTTCTTATTATTTTTACCACATTTTCACCCCCTCAAACGACCTGGAATACTGTGACGTAAAGTTTTTTCTGTCGAATAGATCATCTGAAATAACATATCTCGATATTGCAGGTGTATAATACATGTTACAAATTTTTTAAATATTTCCATCCTGTTTTCAACCCTTCAAATAGTTTAATAGTCTAGGACGGTTTTTTTAATAATAAATCAGTCAATAAACGTATCATATTGAAAAATAGTAGGTATACAGAGTCGGTAAATGAAAAAATAATAATTATATATTTTTTTCTCAGTGAACTTCGTGGATGTGGATAACTTCACACCCGTAGGTATAAGATGAGCCTCACTGATCTGAGAGTAACCTAGAATAGGCCAGTCGTTACCCAATAACGATTGATGATCGAAATCTTGTTCTCTTTTTTATTTCCTCTATTACTTTCTTTTCTCCATTTTTGCATATTATTGACGTTTCACCCATTGCTCTCAATATTTGTATTTTTTGTATTTCATGTAAAACAGTGTCTTATTCTTCACAAATGAACGTTTTCATATTTTTACATTTCATTTATATCATTTTCACATATATTCATACATATACAATAATACAATACAATAATACAATACACACTAATACAATAAACAGTTTATTGTATTACTTTGAAAATGTCCGTATAGGACTAAACTGCAGTAACGATAGTTACAAATAAAAGTGGTAAAAACATGGAAAGTTTCATTTCTCATTTCTCCTACCACGTAGTTAATAGCTACTTCCATCAATTTATCAAACGTAATATTGATTTTGTTAAATCGGAGTACAAACATACCTTACTCTCATTCTCGTAATCCCAATATTTGGAAATAAAAACGTTTCATTTCCTCTAAAAAAATTTTTGTCGGCAATTCTGCATCCGGATCCTCGTACAAAAGATTTGATAAAATAGATCACGAGAAATAACAAACAACTATCTTGATGTAGCTGGTAAATAATGTAGATATTTATAGGGAATAAGACAATTTCAGTTTCTTCACTACACTTCGGATCCATGTGAAATATGTAAACACGAAATATAATGACTAATTTTTCTCAAATCGATATTGGGAATGATAATTCTCGATGTAGCAATAAGTTTGTAAAATCGATTTGTCATGATATCATTTAGTTTCTACATTGTCAATTTGGAAAACTTCATTAATTTTTTTAATAATAACACTATTCATAATTCAACGGAATAGACAATGGATAATGGAAATTCTAATAAAAATGTATTAAATGAGTACCTACCTAATATTCTTGTTAACTACTGTTAACTGTACAGGGTGAGTCAACAAGATTCCCTAAGTCCAAAAGATGTTCAAAATGGCAAAATTCTCCAACGAAAACTTGTTTATGATGTCCTGAAACAAAAATGTGTTGAGCGAAAACATGGGCTGACGTAGGCGCGCTACGTGACTGGGTGGTCTGTCTTGTTGAGGTATACGTCTGGTCGTCTGTCTGCCTGAATTATTTATGTCCACAGAAACTTCAAATTTCACGCCACAATGTTCCGAGATGCAAAAGTGTGCACTCTGATTAGCTGGCGAGCTGCGTGACAATACACTCTGATTGGTTCACCGCTGGGTGACAGGACACCACGTGACAATTTGGTGTACTCTGGTTGACTGGGTGGTCTGTCTGCCTTGTATAGCGAGCCACAGCAGCCAGGTTGCGCTGTGATGACGTCACAGTCTACCTGAAATGAGGTAACTCCTACTGTCTTTGTTACAGACATTCTACCAGTCATAATGTCAGTCATTTTTCAAACGAATTCCAGCATATCCTTTGAGATTTCCCTGAATGCTCTAGTGATTCTTCGTTTCATGTCTTCTATAGATGTTGGAGGAGTATGGTAGACAATCCATTTGGTATACTCCCATGAAAAAAATCCATTTTGGTCAGGTCATGTGATCTGGATGGCCACGCCAGAGGACCACCCCTACCTATCCATTTTTTATTAAAATGATCGTTCAGGTATTCCCGTACCTAAGTTTTACAATGTGGTGGTGCACCGTCTTGTTGTAGCTGCATTCTAAGTCTTGTTCCATATGGAACACGTTTTTAAAAATCTCTTCGTCTCAACTCTTGCATCAATTGCATATGGTAAGAATGAAATTTTCTTGCTCGTTTCATTCGAGACACGCTGGTTTGAGAAAATCCTAATTCCCTGCTCAGGTCTCAGGTACTCACATTGGGATTTTCAACAAGGTGAAAAGCAATTTAAAATATATTCTCGTCATTTTTTACAGGGCAGACACGTTCGAACTTCGTGATTTACTTACCAGTTCTTTCAAATCTTGTATTTCGAGCCTAAAATGCCCTTCCATCTGATTGTCTTCTTTCGGAGAACTTCTCCTTGTAAATCCTAGATGCAAGGAGGCAGTTTCAGTCACTTTTCCCCAAAGCACAAACCATTTGCCCCATATCTTCCAATACATCATTCATAATGAAAATGATTGAATCTACACGAGAAAAACTTCAACACACGGCGTTATTGACAAATTCCGAGATTAATTTTTTTATGTCAGTCATGAATAACTGGGTTTTCCATCCATTTCTTACCGTTGAAACCGCTGAAAACTATCACTAGATGGATTGAAAAATGCTAATGTACTAGCGATTAGTTTAAATATTCGAAAAACAAATTTGAGTAAGTCAACGTAAAAAAAATTTTTATTTGTGGTTACAAAAATTACTGGAACTTGGTATAATTTGTAAAATATCAGTTTTTTGTATATAAAAAATGTTTTGAAATGTTGAAACATTTCATACAAATNTGTTTATATAATAATAACTGTGACTCGTAGATACATGAGTGATCTATTGATACTGACTGCTAGACCAAAGTTCATTGAATGTTGAACATGTGTGTATTTAATTGTCCAACTGGTTAGGTAACAACTGAATAAGCTTTAACAACTATTGTAGAAAATGACGGTAAGACATTAAAAGTATGAACTGTAAAAAAACAGTTACACAATCAACATTACAAAGAATCGTTATGCCTGTTATATAATGTTTTATTCTTTTTACTTTTAGTCCCTACAGTCAATATACTAAGTATGTATCCTAACAAAAAAGGTGTACGAAAAATGAAAAAATTCCTTACCAACAACTGAGTAACTTTCATGTTTCTAGCACAAACTAAATACTCAGTTCACGCACTCACGTTCATTACTGGATTATTTGTTGTTTCTTCTTGAGTTGGCGCGGTCAAGGAAGGGGAACAGGTAGAAGAACGCGGCCCCAACAGGTCGATCTTCGAAACTTATAACCCTAAAAATAACGTAAGCGGATCTTGTGAGATTCTGATCTACTCAACACAAACTGTAAGTTGAAGTCGTTACGACGTTTTGAATTCCATATATACAGGATGATCTATTGAAAATAATCCTCTTTAAATATTTTGGTTTGATAATGTTTTCGAGCAAATCCAGAGAAAGGTTTATTGCACGTAGGACGAAGAACATCATTAGGTCGTGAATTTAAGAAGAAAGTTGTTGAAATTACTTCAAAAAACATAATTAAAATATCTGCGAACTAATTATATAAAAAACTTGTGAATTATGATTTTCGTCGATTTGTTACTATCTGCTTCTTTGAAAGAAACTTTTCAAATCACATTTTCCTCATATCAGGAGAATATATTTATATNAACTTTGGTGAGTCTTTTGTAATATTGTATTTCTATATAATGTTTGCTTCCTGCTAGTGAGGATGGCCGTGTCAAAAGGAATGTTACATTGACATGTATTGACATGTTTCGATTGTTTAACTGAAATCTTTTCTTCCAGAGCCATCAAGCTCAAGATCATCCATGTGAAATAAAGGGAAGGGGTAACCTTCAAAGCAATGGATAATGGGATGAGGTAATCTCCTCTTCTGAAAGTGTCCCATTCTGTTTGGACTTCAGCTCGATCAGATATTATGGTAGTTTTCCAGAACGGTATCAGTTGTTCAAGGCATCTCGGATACAAAAAGACATCTAGGCAAATACACGATGAGCTTATGAAATATTCTATCAAACACCATATTGATCCAGGTCATAGGGAGATTACGCTTGTACTGCGTTGAATTACTGGGTCAACTGTTCAGAGTACTCATGCATATAAGATGCCGGTAAACAACTCTTTGGAATAGACGAATCTAGGTACATTTTTAGGGATGAAACAGTTCTTCCTTTGACAAACCAAGCCAGAATCAAATACTCCAGTTTCAGCAACTGATGTAAAATTTTGGCCATATGGCGGTGGGTACTTCTTACTTTCTTCAATCTATAAGTATTCGTCTTATTCGGGCCTAGTGCAGAACCTGAAAGAACTCATTAAATTTCTTCGATGATTATCGGTTTGTGCAGTTCATTTTTTCCAGACTAAAGAAGCTCTGTATTGGAAATTTCGAACTGCGTTAGGTCTGGTGTGTCTGGGTTGAGTTTTTGCGGAATCTCGTAAATATACGTCTAGAAGGATCAGAGGTTGGCTGGTTATCTAAAATGCATAGAGCCTCTTGAAGTGAAAAGGAGAGTTCCCTCCTAATTTGATATTTCCCGAGACACTTCCCGCTTGTCCCACTTGTGGCACTTTAGCAAAAAACTAGCAATATCAAAGCAATGCTGTTTGGTGGTTAGAAACGTTTCAAAATGTGATAGGTAAGTCTCAGTTCAGTGGCTTTTCGCCTCACGGCAGGTGTATCCACCATTCAAGTTTTCGAACTGAAGAAGTGGTATCCCACAGTTTTATATGGGAAAGTGTTTGAACGGCATTGTAAACGGTGATGTTAACTTATCAGATATCAGTCTCCTATGTAAGGGTATCATGAACCTCTGCATCCACTGGATATAGTAATTATGGCTTTGAGGGCCATTTTGTGCCACGAAGATAAAACTAACCCTTTCACCACAACATTCAGAGGCTGAGAAGGAGCTACATAGCCACGACGGGGCAGGTAGGAAGATTTTGGCCCAAGAATGCAGCATGCACCAGTTGTATTCTACACCGCAGAGCTTATATTCTCACTCAAAGCGGTTAATTGGGGCGCCTGCTTCGTGTTCTAGGAAATGATTGTTGAGTCTACTAGTTGGTTAGCCATTCAGAACCATGGTCGACCTCAAAGAGAAATTGGAGTTCTCCCTTCTGAGTGCGCATCGGGTATAGTTTTGCACGAGTTGAGTATAAATACATTTTCCAAGAACAAAAAAATTGGTATATGAGAAATTACTTTTTAATGAATTATTTGAAAATTGGTGTCCATTTACATTGGTTTACCCAATTGAATATGACACACAACAGATACTAAGGAAAGTAGTAACAACTATGTACTGAACATTCCCTTCAATAACAAGTACAGTCATCTTGTTACAATAAGATAGACTACTCCTGTCAGGTGGAATGGAACCCTTGGAGGTAGGGTCCTCCTAATTGAAGGCTTCATCCTGATTCATGTGCATCCCTGCCAGAAGAATGTTTGACTATGATTCCATTCAATGTCACAAACGGTATTTTCTAGACACCAGGTCCCTCTCCCATCATAAAGCGTTTTCACTGTAATGCGGAGTCTCGCCATGATGGACCTTCTCGTGGTACCCGTTCTGGGCCATGAGATGAAGCATGAATACGATCCTGAGTCTACTGAGAAAATATACTCAAAGACCCCAAATTTCCTCCGGATAAGATCGAATCAAAAATTGAACTTCCTGATTCTCCAACTCCTGATCCTGTTGATTAACCTAGGAAGCGACTTATCGTCTCCTCACGAAAAGTATATCTCATGAATCTGCCTTGCACCAAATTCATAAACAGCAGAAGCAAACTTTGTATCGGGAAAGGAAACAAACTCCTCCCGAACAGATCATCAAACGCTAACCCTCAAACGATTTTTCACCCAAACCAGAAGCAAAAAAGACCAGTATGACTGACTTTAATGTATCGTCATGTGTAGCTAACTTACAAATATGGTAAATTTTTTGTGATCATCAAGATTAGAGTTGGGTACTTCGAAAACCCGAAAACCACAATATTGACTGAAATATCTCTAGTAAGCCAACATTGTGGCCGAAGACATACAAGATGGTCTTCAGGTTGCTTGAGAGCGTCTTCTGGCTGGCTTCGTGGAAATACGCTTTCCTGAGATGCGTCACTGGATACTTACTTTCATAGCCACCCCTGTTGCTTGCCACCCTGATGAAGAAAGTCACAGACTGACTGCCTGTCGACCTTGAAGTGCATCATTTTTCACAAAAACATTAAGTCATTAACTAAATATAGTGAGTAATCGATTTCGAAGGGAAGCTGGATTTATGTAGTCGAGTCTGAATTGATATGAGCCACAATAAACCCTCTAACACTGCTTCAATATAGCAGAAATGAAATAATCTTCTGAACTTGATAATATATATCAACATACAACCATAGAAACATCGAATCAAAAATATATAAATATAATGTTGCTCAAATTCATTTGAGCAACAACAGGTTGAACTAAAGATCGGGTCGGTTCTAGGGTTTTTGATGCCGTAGGGAAAAAGAAATCTGTAGGAGATATAAATATCTTCAACTTTGGTAAAAGTTATTTTCTCGCATAACGTAAAATTTTCCGAGACTGTTTTGTCGTACAAAAATTTGTTTTTCACTTGATAGAAACTCATCTTCTCAACTTCTAGAAACACTCATATTTTCAAAGAAAGTCTCCGGTGTAAATCTTTATTTTGTAGTTTCAACTCAAAAAATACTTCATTTAGGCCTAAAACAAACATGTGTTAACTACAGTTTTTTTCAATTATTTATGTTTCAATTATCTACTTTTGGATGGTGTGGAAAAAAAGGAATATTACTATTTAAGAAATTTGTCAGGAAAAGCAGATAACTGAAAATAGGGGCTTCATCAAAATCATTTTGAATTCATAACCAAATAAATTACTGGCTAAGTGTCTTTTTGGTAGTACAAAACGTCAGATTAATTTCAATATTTTAACTTTTTCAGTGCTTGTGAAAAAAATTGTTATACACATTTTATGTACCCCCTTTAAGGGGCTGTATCTTAACAAGGGATGCTCCAATGAAGTTTCTTTATATGAAAGATCCTATCTTCTTTTCGATGAGGAATCACCTCCTCAAATGTTTTACACTTATTCAGTTACACCCTGTAATTGTATTTATGGCTCAGTATTTTGCATATAGTAGCTACCACATAAGAAGTAAATATATGCTAGCGCGGACTTTTATTTAGAACTATTTAAGATAAACTATTTTACAGTACATTATCGTCATGTAACTGAAACGGTTTAGGCAGCGCACGTCAAGATAGCTCTCAGAGAACGAGCCTATTTATATGTTATTCTCATGTATATATGTATATTTAATGTAAAGTTTAATCTAAATCCTTCCAGTCGTTTAGGCGTGAAAGAGCCATAAACATACATGTATGTATACATTTATCCATCCTCACAAACTTTCTCATTAATAATATTAGTATAGAGTATAGATTTACTCAGCAACCCACGAACGCAAGAGTTTTCAAACCTTTATCTATATGAAAGTATAAATCAGGTGATAAAAAACTGTTGATATTATAACAATAACAGATACAATTTACTGTAAAATTTTCACCATAAAAGTTTTGAAAACCGTGAATATGTTTTACTCCACAAAAGCTTTCTCAAGGGAATATGAGGAAGTTATTGTACCTATAGTGAAATACATTCGCGGTTTTCATGAAACTCTCATAGTGAAAATATGTTAACAAATTCCATCAGTTTTCATTATTATGGATTTTGATCAAGTATCGGCCAGTTATATTCAATTTTTGTACACATTATATACTGGATAGCCAAAAGAAAAGTATCCACTCCAAAATTGCTGGATACCTGAAATGTCGCTATAAAAAGTCGACTCTAGAGGCCCCCTTTCTTCAATGTCCATTTAGAATTTATCCTTGACTATTTGGAATTTATTTGACAAAAATGATATTACATTTCTTTATATTATTCAAACTGACTGAAGATACTCTGGGATTGAAGATACTCTGCTAGATTCATTATGCGCCGGATTTCACAAAACCGCACAGAAAATACATTCAAGAGCTCGTATTAAATTCCAATTTGCCCAACTCCGTATATTCATTATTTTATGCCAACAATAGAATGTTTTTCAAAATCCATTCTTGATGATTTTTGTAACACTCTATATTACGTTTCACTCTGTATTAGATCTCAATTTTTCTCCTGATATTTCTTTCATATTCTTTATAACAGTGTATAATTATTTCAAAGGGCTCATCCAGGATAATTTAGTTTTTTATTGAAAATTATATATTATAAAAGTAAATCATCTCCCAAGTATCCCACAAAATTTTCCGGTTTATATGTCAATTAACAACTGAGCAAGAGCAATTGAGAATGTGAGATCGCCTGCGGTTNAATTGGTGGGTTGATTAAACGGCATATTTTTCAAATTTCATTCCTTTATAACTTTTTTATTGATTGACGCATTTCAACGTAATTTACATGTTACCCATTTGAAAATGTCACAAATCCAGTGGTGTAGTCAGAGTTTTTCTAAAAAAATCGCTAGTAATTTTTTTAGATTTTTGACCTTGAAAAATAAGATTAGTTGGCCCTGGAAATTGAGATTTATTCATGATATTTGGTGTCCTAATAGACTTTTTGAATATCTACCTAACAAAAAAAAACATTCCAATCGGTTGAAAAATGTAAGTTTTATAAGGGTGCTTCCATCTTAAATGGGTCACACTGTATGTATTTTTCTGCCAGCAATAATGAGTTATTTTAAATTCGTTATTTGATATTGTCATAATACTGTGTATGAATTCGAGATTTTCAAGCTCTCTGAAAACCACAAACTTTTTTCAGTGTCTTATATTTCGATCATTTTAACCATTTTTTAATATTTGTTATAAAATATTCTGCATTGAAAAGTATTTTTGATAATTATGGTAAATTTTTCCAACATTGTTTATTCATCATTAGATGACATCTATTTTGTTTTCATTGCTTATCACCCTAAATAGTGCTACACCGTTTAAACACTCTCGAACATTATATTACTTTCTAGAATATCATGCAAACATTCTCCATTTCATAAATTGGGCACCGTGGTAGCGCGCCCGACTTACAATCGGAAGGCTGGCCGTGAGTTCGACAATTATTTTCTCAATTTTCTCAGTACTCACCACTTTCTATAGTTTTTTAGATTTTCAGCTGGTAATTCAGGACTGTTTTTTTTATTTTTTCCTGCTTAATCAGTACCAACTTCCAAAAACGCCTCATTCATCATTTTTCAACAATATTGTTCTTCAGAGTTCATATTTAAATATATACACCACACTGTATAATTTTTTTTTCAATGAAAAGTTTGCCCCTTCTATACGTGTACAAAGTTCTCCATCAAATTTTTCACAATGTGTTGGGTGAAAATTTTTTCAAGGTACTTCACAATGTGAAATGAAAACCATTCAAAAATTATAAATGGCATCTACTAAGATTTTCATCTCCACTCTGTCTGGATTAAACCTCATTCAATTCGGAGACAATCAGTCAAATATCGTCTCAATATGATTATAAAAATTTCTTTTGTGTATGAATTTTCAGTTCAACCTACTGAAATTGTGAAAAAGTTGCTTCATAACATTTCTTATCGGAAGAATCAATTTCTAGTGTCAATACGATGTGTAGGTGGAGAGTATTGCGTAACATATTTTTCGTTCACCTTCAAAAACCATACTTGTTACGAAAAAAGTCTCGTTTATTTGATAATACAATAATAAAGAATATCTGAATTCTGACGTAAACTGGATCACACATCTTCATATTCAACAAGAATTCTATCACTAACTTTTTTGATATTTTCTTTTTATTAAACTACGAAGTCGAGAAGAACATTTTTTTCGCCATAACATTGAAACATATTCAACATCACTAAAGAATGACAAAAGTGAACATCTCATATACACTCTCAATATGAGCATAATGTATCCCATGTATGGGTTACTTCAAATATTTTCAATTGTTCATAATGTCAAAAAAACGTTACTGATTTATTGAACTGTTACTATTTGTGAACCATCCCTTTTGTTTCTTTATGCTCCACTAATTTATTTTCAGTTGACTGAACATAATCAATTGTTTTGTTCGATAAATGAGATTCAAATATTTTTTCAACAATCATGCAATGCTTAGTTTGTTTCATCAACTTAACCAAATTATTTTCATAATCAACCTGAATTTCACAATCGATTATTCATTAGTTCATGCAAAAAGCATAAAATTTTGTAAGTAACTTTTGATATTAGAAGGTGTAAAAATATTGAAACAATTGAAAAATTTTCAATAGTTATTCTTAACAACACAACAATAAAAACAACAATATGTAATGTATTTCGATAGAAATTTTTCTGTTTCTATCGATACATTCACAAGTAAAAAACTATACTACAATGCTCCTGAAGAACTATCAAATTCTTTTTCAAATTCTGACTTCTCTACCATATATTTTGGTAAGTTCTCATCATGTAATTCACTGTATACTGGTTTGGTTTCTTTGCTGAAAGCTCCCTCCTCATCCTGAACTTTGAACTCCGCTGGTGTGACAAAAGTTGGTTCTGGGTCCTGTTTGAGGTTTCTGCTTTTTTTTGGACTCCTTTTCTTTTTGTAATGCTTCTTCAACTCTTCATAAGGCACTTCCGTTGCTGAAACTTCTGAGGCAGCAGCTACTAAAAACGGAGTTTTGGAATTAGGTTTTTTAAAGAAATTATTTTTTTTAGACTCCAAAGTGACTATGGGTTTTTCTTTACTTTCTTCCGGTTGAGATTCAGTATCTTCTAGTTTTTTGACCCCTTGAAGCTGGTGATATGCTACATGCGATGATTGAGGCTTCGACTCCTGAACATACATGCATTCTTCATGTTGAATACCATTTTTGTCAACACATAAATAACAGGTCATTCCATTTTTTTCAGATTTCTTACAGCTTGTCCTATCTTTTTTCGAAAACTCCGCTAAAACTTCTTCCACATTCTGTCTTGTCTCTGCTGAGGTGGGATATTCAGACTTGTCTTGTCTCTTTGATTCTCCTTCAGACAATTCTGGAAATAATCTGGCATGATACTCATCGAAACTCCTACTGGGTTCGTCGTTCGATTCTCTTTGTTTTTCACTCTTTACGCTGTCCGCAAAGTGGAGTGGTATATCATAGCTATCATCATCTTCAGCTTTGCTTTCCGTTGATTTGGATGATGCGTACGGATAATAATACGCATCGCTATTTTTCTCGTCGTAGGTACTTTCCTCATCATTTCGTTTCGTAGGTGTCTTCTGTTGCACCCGATCTTCATGCTCTTCAGTAGGTTCAGGTTCAGGTTTGTGACTGACTTGCTCTGAAGATTCTGCTTCTTCAGTTTGAGGAGACACTTTCGTTTCTTCAGGGTCATCACTGTCGTATTTTTTCTCTTTCACATATGCATATTTCTTCTCCTTAGGTTCTGACGTATATGAACATTGTTCGTAGTTACCGCCGGTTTCAGGATTTTTGCAAATAGTACAAGTCATTCCTTTTCTGTCTACTTTTTTACAGTTCTTAGGATCCTTCTTGAGTTCTTCAGCTTGTTTCTCCGAGTAACTCAGATGCTTTTGTGTTTCATCGTAAAATTCCGGTTCATATTGGAATCCGGCATTATAGTCAGCTGGAATGGTTGGCTCATCCAAAGCCTTACGAGATCTCTCTCGGATTTGATAGTATGGATCGTTATTGGCGGCATTTCGCCGGTATCTGATGTTGATTTCTTTAGCTGGGCCGGAATATTTTTCAGAGTTTCCACTACTATATTCTTCTGGTTCTTTCTCGGAAGAATAAGAGCATTGCGTGTACTTAGACTTTGTAGCTGCATTCTCACAAACGAAACAATTCAAATCTTCCGAACTATGTGATGGCTTGGCTATTTTTCTGCATCCTCCGCTCTTGATATGACTAGAAATTTCCTCTGAAGGTTGGCTCTCAATCGCAGCGGAATGCTTGGTTAGTTTCTCGTAATTGGGATTGTACGAAGTATCAATGTTGGACAGGGAATCTGAGTATTTAGAACTCAGGGAGCTTTCCAACGTTGTGGGCTGAAAGCTATACTTTTGATATGGAGATAAGTCGCCAGGGGATGGTTTGATGTATCCAGCTGCAGCAGGGAATTGTGAAACAGTTGAACTAGATTTTCCAATGTTGTAGTCTATCGGAGTCTTAGAGTTACTCAATAGACCTACTGTATATTTCTCGTCTTCAGCCTCATTTTCAATCTCCCCTTCAACATCTGTGAATCCTTCATCGTAGCCTCTCCCACTTGATGATTTTGGTTTGTTCGGTCTTGGAGGTATTCTTTCTACGTCTTCAGCACTAGCCGATTTGACTTCATCAACTGCTTGGTGTAATGGAATTTGATGGGAAATATAATTGGGACCAGGACGAATGTAGTCTTCTCTCAATTGTCCTTGTTCTTCAGCTTTTTGTTTTTTCTGGGATTCCTCAAAGAAATCTCTTAGTGGTTCACTGAAATGGAAGTTTGGAGTGCTTTGAATGGGTGCGAACCTTGTAAGTGATTGAGTCTGTTGTCCTTGAGGAATGAAAGTTGAACTTGGGATCGATAATATTGGTTGCTTAACGGTTTCTTGATATTCTGAAAAACGAATTTTGGAAGTGTCATTTTACATGTGGTAATCAAATCACTACTGTTTTATTTAAGACATCATATATATTTTCAAAACAATGATGATATTTATCTAACACTTGGTTGAAGATAAAATCAATTTCTAGTTATTTTCAAATGATACAATCAGTTCTTCGAATTACTAGATAACTATCCAATCTGCAAAAATCAAGTTGCGTGTGTATGAAGTGACTTCATCGCATTACCATTTAACTTTTTGTCAGTATGAATATCATATTCTAGATATTGGTTTTATCGTGTAGTAGATATTTCAGAATTATCGAAGTAGAAACAATTCAAACCAGAAATAGTCTTACCTATGGTTTGAGGAGCAAAGAATCCCGTGAACTCCGAAGAACCAACAAAACCGCTCCCCTTGTTTTCTTCTGCTGTTAAAGGTGCATTGCCGTCAAGAGAATAGTACTTTGAGTAATCAGGATGTTCGTGGTACTCTCCGCCATCTTCAGTGAAATCTGAATGATCTTCGGATTCTTCCAAGCCGTACTCTTCCTGGGCGTTATGTTGTTGAATCAGCAACACTAGCAAAACCTACAGAAAGGAATGCTTGTAATGAATGAATGCGAACTCCAAATCAATGAAAGTGTTTATTTAGTTGGTGCTTGATTTCGTCATGTGTCCTTTTTATGTCTGTAATTTTGATGTTGGTTAATCATGTGAGTATCGTTGCAGAACATTCCTATCTCACTGTTGTGATTTAAACAAAAAATGATAATGGAACATGGAAATTTTTTATTTAAGTTAGTGAGTGTCATCCCTAGAGGAGATTTGAAGTTTGAATGTTCACAAATGTCACATTATTGCAGCACCACTTTCTTTTGACCATTTTTTCTCTACAAGGTATTTTACTGTCACTTTGTAATGGAATCAGCACGGATATAGGTTGAGTCAAGAATAAAATTAAAATTAAAGATCGGTCAGACAAAATGTGTATTGAACAATCTGGAAAGTTACTGGAAAAGTTTGAAAAATAAAATGTGATTAGTATGACATGACATGAAACTCAAATTATATGACAATATGGAATTGAAAGAAGCAAAAATGATAATATGAAACAGTTTTGAAATGCTCCTCGCATCTTCAGTTCATTATCATCAGAAAGGAAAATATCAAGTTTACAAAATACAATGAATTGAGAGGTTTAGTAGTTTTCTATCACTAAATGTCAAAGACGACTGAAAGAAGCATGAACTATGCCGAAAGCTATCAAGAATAAGCAAAATTTTTTGTCGCAACAAGATACAAGTTTTTCAATTCATGTAAAATCAATATTAGCCTTTCATTAAAAATATAATAGTTCACGAAAGATGAATAAATTTCAAAAACACAAAGGAAAGAGTCACAATAATCCATTCTAGAGATACAAATCAGCCAGTGGTTGAGTTAAAACTTTCTCCGCATCTGCCTGAGAAATAATAAACAGGGTGGACATGCCGTAAAGTAATATGTAGATGTTGTTTGACATTTCTTTTTCATTTTAAACATGAGAGCGACAGTGAAAAAATAATTTTACGATTCATCGTCACTGACAGAAAACTGCCGGTAATGAACAATGAAATGAAATGAAAAATAGCAAAAAGTGCGATAGCTGAAAAAAATATAACTGAATCATACAAAATTAAATTTTTTTTCTGTAGTTTTCAGACAAAGATTATCTGTAGGTACTTTTATATAAGGAGACCCAAAAGTGTATTTTATTAAATTTTCCAACAGAAATAAACATATTTCATGCATTTTTATTTTTGTCTGTTTCCAAGATATGCATTCAACTAGTAATAAGAGTGAACATCGATAAGAGTTGTTAATGAATCACCAGAAAGATTATCTCAATTTGTTATTTCTGAAAATATTTTTTCAAATAAACAGAACGAAAGTCATAATGGTTAAAATTTTTGAATTGAAAAAATATATGCTGGTTGAAATAACATCATGAAAAATGTTATGATATAGTCGAATTTATAAAAATAAACACAGTCTGAGCCTGAGCCTTGAGAGCGATATGAGAAAATACACCTACTCTGGAATAAAAGCTGAAATTAGTTTAGAATCGTTAAACGGTAACAGACCAAAACACACAAATTCACTGAAGGGAAGGTTTTGCTTTCAAATTGTCACAACACTTTACTGACGATGCGAATTCTGTTAGGTCACTAACCTCGATTGATATGCTTCTGAAAAGAAGCATTATGTACTTGTTGGGAACACAAAATGTAACGAAATTAATCTAAATTATAGTGATAAGTATTTATACGGAGTTTTCCCACTACAACAAATGATTTATTCACGTAACTGGAAAGCAGATTGATTCGGTTTAAAGTCAATATTTCTTAAAAACGCAAGCCACTCAACCGCATTTGATTGAATACAATCTTTGGAGCGTAAAAAGAAGTTTTTTAACAATCCGGAATGTATATAACAAAACACAGAAATCAATTAGGAGTACTGACGAATGCATCAGTAATTTTCCCTGCGTTTAGGTAAGATATTTGATACGCCGATTGCATTTCTGTCAATGCATTAGCACAATCGTCAGTTTTTTTAATCATTTGACAATATTTTCGTTGACCGCAACGAGACTGAAGATATTCTCCAGTTGAATATGCGATGGCTGGTTACCAATTTCTTTTATATGACTAATACCTCAATGTTTGTCCGAAGCATTTTCTTCAAAAATTTATTCAGGTGAAATACTATGTTTCCCTTGATGAGTTGCTTCACATTTGTATGTTCATTTTGTGGAGACTGAGAAAGTCTGACACAGAAAGTAGATAGCGGTCACAATATACTGATTCGTGAAGTATATCTGGCTCTACATTCTAAGAATAGCTCTCTTAAGGTATAAATACATTTTCCAAGAACAAAAAAATTGGTATATGAGAAATTACTTTTTAATGAATTATTTGAAAATTGGTGTCCATTTACATTGGTTTATCCAATTGAATATGACACACAACAGATACTAAGGAAAGTAACAACTATGTACTGAACATTCCCTTCAATAACAAGTACAGTTACAAGTATCAAGTTACAAGTATCTTGTTACAATAAGATAGACTACTCCTATCAGGTGGAATGGAACCCTTGGAGGTAGGGTCCTCCTAATTGAAGGCTTCATCCTGATTCATGTGCATCTCTGCCATAAGAATGTTTGACTATGATTCCATTCAATGTCACAAACGGTATTTTCTAGATACCAGGTCCCCCTCCCATCATAAAGCGTTTTCACTGTAATGAGGAGTCTCGCCATGATGGACCTTCTCGTGGTACCCGTTCTGGGCCATGAGATAAAGCATGAATACGATCCTGACTCTACTGAGAAAATATACTCAAAGACCCCAAATTTCCTCCGGATAAGATCGAATCAAAAATTGAACTTTCTGATTCTCCAACTCCTGATCCTGTTGATTAACCTAGGAAGCGACTTAAAGTCTCCTCGCGAAAAGTATATCTAATGAATCTGCCTTGCACCAAATTCATAAACAGCAGAAGCAAACTTTGTATCGGGAAAGAAAACAAACTCCTCCCGAACAGATCAGAAAACGCTAACCCTCAAACGATTTTTCACCCAAACCAGAAGAAAAAAAGCCCAGCATGACTGACTTTAATGTATTGTCATGTGTAGCTAACTTACAAATATGGTAAATTTTTTGTGATCATCAAGATTAGAGTTGGGTACTTCGAAAACCCGAAAACAACAATATTGACTGAAATATCTCCAGTAAGCCAACATTGTGGCCGAAGACATACAAGATGGTCTTCAGGTTGCTTGAGAACGTCTTCTGGCTGGCTTCGTGGAAATACGCTTTCCTGAGATGCGTCACTGGATACCTTCTTTCATAGCCACCTGTTGCTTGCCACCCTGATGAAGGAAGTCACAGACTGACTGCCTGTCAACCTTGAAGTGCATCATTTTCCACAAAAACATTTCAGGCCCTGGTTACAGCTTTTCAGTATTTGGCAGAGCCTCACTCTTGTCAGATGATTAAGTCATTAACTAAATATAGTAAGCAATCGATTTCGAAGGGAAGCTGGATTTATGTGGTCGAGTCTGAATTGATATGAGCCACAATAAACCCTCAAACACTGCTTAAATATAGCAGAAATAAAAAAATCTTCTCGATGCAGGTTTCACCAACTGACTTGGCGTCATCAAGACTCAGGTATAGAAGATCAAGTAAAATCAATACTTGTTTACTGGATTTTAAATGCATATTTGAGCTCGTTGAACCTGAAAATTGAATTCCTCAGAGAATTTCACATAAGTATAGACACCAAACATTCATTGTTTTGTTGTTAAAACACATGGATATGTAGGGAACGCCATCTACTTAGCCCGGATCGTTCGTCAGTTTTCATCCGACTAGATACGAGGTGCGAACTGATCCCTTTCTGCTGGTATTTGATTGCGATCTAGTGCGAAAAAAGACACACAAATGGACTATGAAGAGTTAATTTCGCTTGTTCAAGAAAGGAAATATTTGTGGGACCAACGGGAAAGTGACTATCGATATATTGATAAATATTAATATTTGATATTGAAAATACAGTTTCTTTAAAAAATGAAAAGTAATTTTTGCTTTATACATTTACCGTAATGTCACTAACCAGCCGTTCTTGTGGAGAGATTGTCCCTCGAAAATTGCTGAATTTTTCGAGTTTTGAATAAATGTGTCCATTCTCATTCGAAAATAAATAAGTGATCATGCCACAAATAAGAAAATTCGCCCTCCTTTCTTTTGCGCCTTTTTCGATATTGCCAGTGCCTGATAAGACGGTTAATCAAAGGTGATGATTCCAAAGCGAATTTTTTATCAGAAAACCCGTTCCGAATAGCCATGTCGTCTACTACGAATCTGAACGAATACTGCGGCAAGAGGAAATGGACGATGTGCATTGAACGATTTCGTACGATTGGCGTTCGCACTAATTCGTTGCTTCTCAATTCGCAACTTTCCGCCTCCAGTGGACGAGAGGCCTCACATTACTCTACTAACTCTGCGTGTGTATATATTGTGATTGTGATTACACATATATGGTGGTGTATGTTTTGTGTATTATTTGAGCAAGCTGTGCATGCATTGTGTTACAGTCGTAATTGAAAGCAAAAAGAAAAAACTGAATGGTTACCTTTGGAAATCAATTTTCCTCTCAGAAACTACGCGCGATCTCATATTGCATATTACATTTGAAGAAACACGAAGAGACCGACATCTCACAGGTTAGAAAAAATGTAAATATTACGACATTACAAAATAATTATATTTTTATCAAACTTTAAATAAGCTGCGAGGGCCAGCTGTGTTTGAATTGCTGGTTCGTCAATTTTTGTGGGATTTTAATAATTGTTTATTTGGCTATTTTGAGATTTTAAAGCANTTTGGCTATTTTGAGATTTTTCTTTCTTGGGTAAAGTAATTTGTGATTGTAGTACCCTTTTTTCACAAATAATGTAGAATGAGTACTTGTTTTCATTGACGTTCTCAAGGATAAAATTTACTACGAACACTGCTGGATACGTCCACTCGAGTAATCTGTGATGTGATGCCATGATCATAAAAACAACAAAAACCAATGTTCATTTGTCTTATGAGTAAAAAAGCCTTAAAAACTTAGTTGCTCGTCAATCATGACAGATGTTTTTGATGTGGTTGCGAAGACATAAACCAAAGTGCTTTTAATTTATAGAGAAGAATGATGCCCGAAGAATAGAAGTCTCTGCCAACAAAACGGGTTCGGGACGAGTCAAGGTGTACTTTATGCTCCAAACGCTTACGAGATCTAGGTCCAGACATAGGAAGAGAAAGAAAAATGAAATCAAGAGTTAGAGGCTTCAACTTTTTCTTTTGACTACGGCATTCACATTCAAGAAGGTGAATACTTTTGGATTTAGCAGAAATACAAAAGTTTTGCAATTGAAAAATCAGTTGAAACTACTTCTCAAACTTCTTGTTTTATTTATATTTTTGTTGAATCAATAACTTATCGTTTCTATGAAAACATAAGACATATTACAATGAGTCATAAAAGAAAAACAAAACTGAAATAATACACAGAGTGAACAAAGCTGTTTTCCAATACCCCCACTCTTTGTTCACGTTCTTGAAGAGATGGATAATGCATTTCTATTTTCATAAATTTCATTCTTGGAAGTGGCTTGGTGAACATGTCTGCAAGTTGTTCCTCTGAACAGACATACGATAGAGATAGCAATCCATTCTCCACTTGTTCCCTTNGACTCCTTAAGCACACTACACGCACTAGAAAATTCATTCAATAAAGATCCACTAGTACAGACTATATTGGCATCCATACACTGGACGTGTATGAATGGAAAACGCATCGATTTTGAGGGACTCCTAGTCACCAAGGAATCTCGGGTAATGAATTAGCAGATCAGGCAGCCAAACGAGCTACCGAAATACTTGATGTTTGTAATAATATTCCTATTCGACCGGAAGACGTAAAACATTATTTCAAACAACAGTTTATGGATTTATGGAAAACTGAATGGGAGGAAACAGATGCAAAATTAAAAGAGGTGAAGCCAAAAATCACACCCTAGAGGGATTCTATTCCAAAGACACGAAGAGAACAAACTGTGATTACACGCTTGAGAATAGGTCATACCAACTTAACTAACATATTCATCCTCTCAGGTGAACAACAACCAATATGCCAACAATATAGGCAGAGACTAACAGTGAAACATATCTTGCTAAATTGTGTCCAATATGATGAAGCTAGACAACGATTTGAAATACCAAATTCTATGAAGGAATGTTTGAAAGATCATAATGAAAGTTTGGATAGAATTATGAAATTTATGAAAGTTATTGGGCTATACTCAAAAATTTGAACAAGAAAGCAAATGATAAACAAACTAATAGTGGAAGGCCAATGACCTAGTAGTCGACGCCTTCAAACCACAAAAAAAAGTATTGAAATTAGATTTCATATTATCTATTAGGCTAGAAACAAAATATGGCAATAAATTTTCTCAATGTATGGACACTTTTTCATCGAATTCCAGTGACATCTAGGAAATAGAAGAAATTATACTACAATATTTGTATTTGAAAAAATATACATTTATAATTGAAATTCCTGACTAAGCATTTGAGATATAATATTACTGGAGTTTTTTCCAACACCAAACCGTTATTTTAACACTTTGACACGTGTTTCGATCACCAAATGAGTAAGATCCAAACTAATCATACTT